CCTCATCTCAAATGTTTGAGACAAATTGTTTAATCTCATGTAAAATAATGGCATAACTATCATTTACATTTAACACAAAAGATGAATTTTACTCCCACTGACTTTGAGAATAACTAAGGCTACACATTTACAGTTTAATTGATGGGAAGGTCAACTAAACTTTTCAGAGTTAATTAAATAATGAGTCAAAAACAATTAATTCTGAATGGAATTAACATAACATATAATAATCTTTCCTTTGGACCAAAATTATCATATATTAGTTTCCTACTGGTGACCTCTCACCTTTGAAGCTAATTTATCATAGAAAACACAATAACAACTTATACTCCTTTAGGCGTAGTGAGTCATCAATTGTGTCTTTTACACTAATTACCTCAATCCGTTTAATTGGACAAACTCAATGACCCACCTTTGAGTTTGATCATTGCTCGTCTTTACTAAACGCCAACACAATCCTTTAACTTTAACAAAATAATAATTTTGTCATTAGCTGTAAATATCATTAAAATTTTTATGAGTGTGCCACTTTGGTGACTAAATACTCAATCAAACTAAATGACACTTGTGCTTAGAATTGCAAAATATAATTCAATTTTCCCGAATGAATCAAGACATATACATATACATATTATGCAACAATTTATAATATGAGACACATGTATAATTATCTATATAATTTCAATAACATGTATAATTTCATAAACTTATATGCTATGAAATTTTAAATTAATCATTGACTATGCCATGTATATCATCAAATATATAAAACATTTAACCAGTGATGATCACTTAAGAAAAATGACATATTTATGAAAATTAATATTTAAGGGACAAAATAAGATCCAAAATTTTTAAAATTTATAAATGTTATACAATAAAAATTTTATCAATTAAAATATTAAATTAGCGACCCTTATTGATAGAATAAGTAGGGGTGCATGCAACACATGACTTTGGGTGGAGAGACTTGACTATTGGTTTAAATTCAAAAGATATGCATGTTGGTTTAATTCCAAAAGACATGACCATTGATTGCAATTCAAAAGACATGATATACATGTATATATATAACAAATCAACGTTAGTAACCCAAACTAAAACATGTAATGGTATGTTGAAACATATAATCCTTCACAATCAACATATTAACTACATGTTGTTGTTGTCAAGACAATTGAGTTTATAGCAAAACATCTCCAGAATACATAACTCTTGGTGTATAGATCACAAAGCCTACGTAGCATGACTATGTAGGTACAGAGACATTTTGGTTCAAATCTAAAAAGACATGTTTGTTGGTTCAAATCCAAAAGATATGTCTGTTCGTTCAAATCCAAAAGACATCACTACTAATTTGAACTCCAAAAGTTATGATTGTTGAGAACATTTGTAACCCAAACAGAAAGCATGCAATGGTACGTTGAATGTAATTAACAACCTACAACTGTCATAAACAATCATACATGACTCTGTGATTAACAGATAACCCTTCACATGAAATATTAACGAATGAGAAATATTCATTTTGGCGGATATAAACACGAAACCAAAATGTAACACCCAAAAATATTATTGTCCCATAAATATTAATGACATTCACGTTGTTATCCAACACATTCACCTTAAAACATTCTTTTAAATATATGCATGTATATTATATATAGCGTCTTCTTTATATATATATATTACAGAGAAATTTCATACGTAAAATAAATTTATGCATTAGAGTTCATGTAGGCTCTGATACCACATGGAAGAAAAATCTTATACAAATCAACTCATGAATCTAAATGCATAAATTCAATAAGGAGACATACCGATATGAAACTCTATTTAAGAGAAATTACAACGTTCTGGACATATGCTGATTGGAGACGACCTTCAACCCTCTAATCTTCCCTTTGCGTACAGGATAATGGATTTCAGACTTTTTACACATATATATAGATGAGGGTTGGGACCATTCCACATAAACATTAAGAGGTGTGTTGGTTTCATCAACCAACACAACTCTTCATCTATGCAACTACACACCCTTTAAGAAGTGATAATGCACCTCAATTAAATAGGATACAACCTTTCTTACATATATGATCTAATGATTAATATTAGTCAATTATTGTTAGGCTATCATTTGCTTACATGTTCTACCCTGTCGAAGTTGTAAGAACGACGACAAAGAAGACAACAAAGGATCTAGCAGAGAGGAACTGATTAACCAATGATAATATGAAAATTTTAATTGATTCAGTACCTGATATTATTAAATTTTGTCCTTTTATTGTTAAAAAGGGAGGTCTACGTAACAACATTTCATTTTTAGGGAAGGACGGTAAAATTCTATTCACCGGTGGTGGAACATCCATAGCGGGTCTATGTTCTACCCTGTCGAAGTTGTAAGAACGACGACAAAGAGGATGAAGGATCTAGTAGAGAGGAGCAGATTAACCAAGGGTAATATGAAATTTTTAATTGATTCAATATATGACATCAGTAAATTTTGTTCTTTTACTGTTAAAAAGAGAGGTTTATGTAACAACATTTCATTTTAGAGAAGAACAGTGTAATTTACCCAAAATTCTATTAACGCCAAAAACCTAATACTTTTACTCTTTACCATATCATTCCTATTTTTATTTTTAGTTTCTTAAAAAATTGTTAAATGGGAGGTGGGGGGAGGGGCCAGTCGGGTCGCAGTGAGAGAAATTAAATGGGCGCGTGGATGGGCCATGGTGGTCGTTTGATAAATGGTTTTGGGAAAGGCACCCTACCATTTCTAACCTTTAACAATATCAGTTTTGTCCTCTCAACATTTTTAGAAATGAAAAGAAGTAAATTATGATCCCTTTTTCTTCTCTATATTCAATTTATAGCTTTTTGGATTTGGTCCAGCTTCCTTGTTGGTGTTTGCATCATTTAAATTAGAAAAATGATTGAGAGTCCACCCATATGACAACTTATACTTACACTCATATGTGTGACCTGAGGCGATGCCATCATGATGTTATAAATTAATATCGATCACATTTAACACATATCTCCTTCTCTGTACTCACAAGTCATAACTCAAATCCATCCAAATATAAGTATACAAAACTCACGGGACTTACACTTCTCTCTTACTTGTATACTTACATTATATTCTCTCATGGGCCATGGCGGCTTCCGTCTCGATAGACTATCTGGGTGTCAATTATTATTTTTTTAAAATTTTTATTTTATTTTATTTTTTTAAGCATGTGTATCAGCCCCCCCATGCATCATTCAAAGGAGTCCTTTTCGAAAGTGAAACCTAAATGACTTACCTTTCCGAATCCCTACCAACGCCAGTTCAGGCTTATTTAATTAAATGTATTTGATAACACAATTTTAAAATCACTAAAAATGGTGTCACTTAAATTGAAATAAAATTTTAAACAAACATCACTTATCATTAAATGCTAAACACTAAAAATTCAAAACTATATTAAAAAATATATATCTTTCTATGTAACACTTAGAAACTTCAACACTTAAAATTCAATTCTTAATTATTATTATTATTTTTTAAAGTTCTTAACATTTTCACTGCTTAAATTTTAATTTTATCAAATCACACCCAATTCTACCCCCAATTCTCTCTCCAAATCTAGATATTTTCAGACTCAGTAATATGATGCTCCAGAAGGATGACATAGATTTGTTTTTGAAGCCATGCTTACAAAAACTGCCTCTATGGAAATTACTCACACAAAGCAAAATGCTATTGAGAAAGAAAGTCCTCTTGTTTATAGCAAAGCTATTTTCAAGAGAATTATGAGGCCCTCTGACTGGGGTTTAAATCTTAATAGCTCCCGAAAGCTTTCTTTCCGATATAGTTACAATTATTGGGATTATATATCAGCATGGACGAATTCGTTCTTTTATCAGAATTCTAAAAAGAAGCATTATTGGTTCTTCAAGATATGCCCTCAATCAATTGAGATTGAATTTCCAAATTGGATTCTTCAGTGGTGGAATATCTTTGGCCCCATCTTGATGTTCTCCCTGAATTAGTGAGGCAATTATTCCTTCCGTGGCAACAATTTCATCCTCTGCTTAAAGGACAAGAAAATATTCCTACAGGGAAATCTACCCTATTGTTCTTTGCAGAACTTGGAATTTTATGGATATGAAAATGGGACTTTAATTGTAGCTACAATCAAGCAAAGCTATCAGTTTTAGAAAGGAATTTTTCTTATAGATGGTAGTCTGGGATGACCCAACAACCAATTCAAAAACTTCTGTCTATTATTAGACAAAAAGTTTGGCATATCATGATGCCATTCCAAAATTGACATTGGCTCAATTTACAACAGCCCCCTGATACTTTTAATCCTTTTGATTTGGTTAAAAAAATGATCAGGAAACAAAATCCAATAATCACCCAAACCGATTTAATGGTGAAATGTATGGATTTTATGAAGAACAAGTTTGTCAATTTATTTGGTTCTTCATCATCTCAAATTAAAGATGATTCTTCAATGGCGTCTACTACAGTTAAGAAGGAAATCAATTCCATTGCTTGGCTGGAGAAGCTCAAGATCCTAATCAGGATTCAGATCAAGAGGTGGAACCCAGTACTGAAGATTATTGGGATTCCCTTACAGTTCTAATGGCATATATGATGAAACCTCCTAAAAAATAAGATTCTCAACTATATATCTTGCTGACAGAAGAATATAAAAAACTTTTTTCAAAAGCTTTGATTCCGCAAGAAGAAGACAAAGAACTTTTCAAAAGTCTTTAATTCTATAGTTCACAACCAAACTATCATTATGGCTTTACTCTTGTTAGAAAAATAGCAACGCTATATGACAAGAAGACAAAAACTAATGGTGGACCATTCGACTGCAAAATAATTTAGCACACCCATCCAACCATTATGCAGACTTCAAAGTTTATTTTTCAAGTCCGATGTTAAATGTATAAAAGGGGGCATTGGTTACCCTCAAATTATCTTTCAGTTTTCTATTCTCTCTCTCTTGTAATATTTCTAAGTGTGTGCTTTGCTTTGAAGTTGAATAAAAAAAGGTTTTTGTAAGTTCTTTTCAAATTTCAAATTATTGTTTTTAATTCTATTATTTATTTCTTCTTTTAGTGGCATGTCTTTAGTGGTATCTTTAGTGGAATTTGTAGTGGTTTATTTACTCTTTTATATTATATCTTTAGTGGAAGTTGTAGTGCTTTGTGTGTTTCCATCCATTATTTGTATTTTTGTGTATCCATATATATATATAATATAGTTCATATATATATATATATATAGACACATAAGGGTCGTGAGCGAGAAATACCTATATCGTACGCATATAGAGTGTATAACTTCGTATACATTTTAAAAAATCTCTAATATTCAATTTTTGAACAAATAAAGACCAAAATGCTGAAAAGATTAAAGTGTTCATGTATAACTAAATAAAAAAAAGGTTAAAAAATTAATAAAATGTGGAACATCAATCTATCCACTGGTGGTGGGTCTATGTTCTATCCGGTCGAAGTTGTCAGAATGACGATGGAGAAGAGGACGAAGGATCAAACAGAGAGGAGGCGCAGATGAACCAAGGATAATAAGAAAATTTTAATTTATTCAATACATAACATTAGTAAATTTTGTCATTTGACTGTTAAAAAGGGAGTTATGTGTAATAACATTTCATTTCATTTTTAGGAAAGATCTGTCTAATTTATCCAAAAATTTATTAACCCCCAAAACCTAATAATTTTACTCTTTACCATATCATTCCTATATATTTTTAAAAAAAAAAAAAAAAAATTGTTAAATGGGAGGTGGGGGGCCAGAAGGGACGCGGTGAGAGAATTTAAATGGGCGCGTGGACGGGCCATGGTGGTCTTTTGATAAATGGTTTTGGGAAAGGCACCCAGCCATTTCTAACACGAAACAATATCAGTTTTGAACTTCCCAAAAAAAAAAAAAAAAAAAAAAAAAGAACAATATCAGTTTTGTCCTTTCAACATTTTTAGAAATGAAAAGACGTAAATTATTCTCTATATTCAACTTATAGCTTTTTGGAAATGCTCAAGCTTCCCTTGTTGGTGTTTGCATCGTTTAAATTAGGAAAATGATTGAGAGTTGACCCATATGACAATTTATACTAATTTATATGATTTTAGATTGATGTCATCGTGATGTTATTAATTAATATCGACATTTATCTAAATATAAATATATAAAACTCTCGTACATTATACTTAAGCTTCTCTCCTACATGTATACTCACCTTATATTCTCTCATGGACCATGACCGCTTCCAAGTCTCAATAGACTATTTGGGTGTCGGTTTTGTACTCTATTTTATTATCTTTTAGAGTATATATATCAGTTTCACAACATACACACCATTTAAGTTAGAAATGCTGTTACCTAAAGGACTTATCTTCCAAATTCTTACTAAGGTCGATAACTCAATTCAGACTTATTTAATTAAATGTGTTTGATAACACAATTTCAAAATCACTGAATACCACTTAAAATGAAATAAAATTTTAAATAACACGTGCACCACTTATTATCAAATGCTAAACACTAAAAATTCAAAACTATATTAAAAAATATTTATTTTTATGTAATACTTTAAAATTTAACATTTAAAATTCAATTCTTAATTATTATTATATTTTTTAAAGTTCTTAACATTTTCATTACTTAATTTTATCAAATCACACCCAATTCTCTCTCCAAATTAGGATATTAAATCAATTAAATATTGCTATTATTTTTGCAGATACATTGGATTTTCATTTATTCCAATTTGCGGTTTTTTTTCAATTCATTTCACACCATTAATATTGCTTCTTTCCAAAATTAGAAGATCCGTCTTCTTCTTCTTGTCCTCTCACATATTCTAAACGTTTAAATACATATTTTGTAAACACAATCCAATATATATATATATATCCCTCTCTCACTTCTTCAACAAAAAGAAGAATCCAACCAGAGTCGATCTCTGTGATTGACAAAATGACGATGAAATTGAGGGCTGTCATTAACTTTCTTTTGCTAACGTGCGCTTCATGGTGCGTTTACTCTGATGATGATCGTCTTATGGTGAACATAACACTGGTTCAAAATGCTTCGGCTCAAGGAGCTGGTAAGCCTTCAATGAAAATTGGATTTTATTTTTATTATTTTTTCTCTTGAATTTTTTCAGAAAACAATTTAAGCTTATTCTTTATATATATATATATATAGTTTGTTTGGATGGAAGTTTGCCTGCTTATCATCTTGACAGTGGATTTGGCGATGGAGCAAGCAATTGGCTTCTAGAGTTTGAGGTAATTCTTATTCTTGTTGGGGATATTTACCATTTCTTTCTTGTTACCCAATTATAGAGTGCCCAATCAGTGACTCTTGAAGGCTAGAAATTTTTTTATGGCACGTGAATCATTAAATTTGGTGGACCAGTCCAATCCAAACTTTAGAATTAGAAAAATGGTCTCACAAAAGTGTTAAATTGTCCTGAAACCTATAATGATGTACCGGTGAATTCAATAGAGTATTATTTTACTAACACAAGATATTAGCTCTCAAAAGTTAAATCTTTCAATGGATTCATTTTTGATAACATTAACAATCCCAAACCTATAACCTATTAGTTAAACATACAAGTTATGTTTGAATAGTAATAATCTTATTCTGCATAATATAATATATATAAAAATATAGATTTTTTACAAATAATTTCCTAAACTATGGTTTGTACATGCAATTAAAGTCAAACTTTTATGTTAAATTTATTATTTTTTATTAAATATTTTTATCATCTATATATTAATTATACTAATTACCTTAATTTTACTATTAGTATCAAATTTATTTAAAAAAATAAATTAATTAATTAATATGTAAGCCATTTTCTTAAAGGATTTAAAACTTCACTATTTATAATAAAAACCGTGTTTGAACTTCTATTTCAAGATTTTTTTTTTTTTTTCAAGTTGCACTGCGTGTATTACGATTTTGGAGAGGATTTTAAACCCTTATACCATATCGTTTTCTCTATTGAAATTTTATGGTTAATATGTGATTTGATTTGAAGATTTTAAGTTAAGAAACCAAAAAAACAATGCTTATTTATTTATTTATTTTAGAATCATAGGACAGTGGCGCCTTAATTTGACCTAAAATTAGGTAATATTGATCAGCCTATGAACGGTTATTCAATTTTAGCTGTACTCATTATGATATTTAATTTCTCATTCATGATCAATCTATTAATTTTAAATAGGGTGGTGGGTGGTGTAATGATATTAAGTCGTGTTTGGAGAGAGCCCAAACGCGTCGTGGATCATCAAATTACATGAACAGGACTGAAGTCTTCGCTGGAATCCTCAGCAACAACGCTTCTCAAAACCCAGGTACGTCGTATACTATCTTCTTTTTTTTTGGGTAAATACATCGTATACTATCTTAATTCTTCCTTCAAGTTACTGTCAAATAAACTGATGCTTTGTTTGGAGTACCAAATCGAATTTAGTTCAAATATTGTATTAAAAATATTCAATTCCAAATTCAGGGAGCTGATTCAGTACTTCCAAACTAATGCTATGTTTGAGAGTACCAAATTGAATTTAGTTCAACTATTGTACTAAAATTTTTTAATTCCAAATTCAACGTGTTGGTTCGGTACTCTCAAACGCAATATAATCATCGTTATAATACACTAATGTTATGTTTAGGACTACTGAACTGAATTTAGTACTACTAAATTTTTTCTTATTCCAAATCGAAGGTGCGGTGCTCCCAAATGCAACACAATCATCATAATTAACGGCAAAGATTGCTTTACACAATTGTGTTTAGGGTGTGTTCCGCTGCATGGAATTAGAGCCGTGAAATTGGAATTGGTGGAATTGGAGAAAATTTTAGTTCAATTTTTTGAATTGCTTTTCTCATATTCCAATTTCAAAGCTCCAATTTCTTCATTTAGCCACAATTCTGGAACCTTCTTCAACCCTCATCTGCTTACTGTTGTTATTGTATAAGGAGTACATTTTTTTTTGGTAATCCACTAGTATCATTCTCGAACATTAATGTTCACTATTGGTGTCCTTAGCCTGAAATCTAGCATTTCACATTCCTCAGCAAGAGGTGGAATGCTCTGATGTACCACATCTGTCACACGTGCAAGTACTGGGATCCGCTCAATGCGATACAACTAGCATTTCACATTCATTGGCAAGAGCTGGAATGCTATGATGTACCACATCTGTCACACATGCAAGTGTTGGGATCCGTCCAATGCGATACAGCAACACGTCACCACATGCATTAACAACTTCTTCATTCTAGTCAAAAGTGCTTTCTTATTGTTTAATCTTAACTGGATTTTCAACAGCTCAATGAATTGCAAATGCTAATGATTAATCTATAAAAAAACAGTTCAATGAGGGAAATGATAATGTTTTCATCCTAAACAACAACCTACAAAATGCTCTTTCTAGTTGCAGATTTGCAGCAGAGCATTATCCTTATATATGAATTTTTTTGTCAGTTCAATAGGTAGCACAATGTATGAAATCACTCAAAGTCTATTATATCTAGAAAAATGGAGAAAATAATGAAATTATTATATGACTAACTTATTGCATTCGGTTTAAATGGAGCAGATTTTTACAACTGGAATCGTGTGAAGCTTAGATATTGTGATGGAGCCTCTTTTGCTGGGGACGGCAAGTTCGACAATGGGGTAAAACGTTTCCTCTTTACCATAATTCTGTGTGTTGTGGCCTTCTGGTTGTGTCCATGATTATCATGTTTTGTTTTTAGTTTTGAAACCCTTAAGACTGTAGAAATATTCTGATAATATTGGAGAAAGTTACATGCTTAAAATCTCTTTTATCGAGTTTAATGTAATCGGCATTCAACAATATAGGCGGTCCAGATCCAGATCGTGGAACCTAATATTTTGGTCGGGCACTTATTTGATCAGATTAATAGCTACTTGGCGAATAATGGAGAGTACCACAAGAGAAAAGTGTTTTTTTAACATTGTAGGGAGTGATGGAAAACTCGAAACTAAATTTCCTCCAATCCCAATTTCAAGGTCCCGATTCGATACCGCCAAACATACTATTAGTGTAATTGAGTTTTTACGAGAACTTCTTTGTATTATTCATTGCAGACTCAAACTCTTCACTAAAATTATATTAATCAATAAATTTATCATTCCATCATGATTTAAATGGATTGTGTTGACCTATTTTTAGCAGGAACATACATTTTATAGGGGAAGGTAAATATTTTTGAAATTGTAGCCCTTGGTGAGGGAGTGATATAACCAAATTGTATGTATAGTTCATTATGCCCTATAATAACTGAGCATCTTTCTATGTGATATGAACAACAGACATCATTGCTTTACTTCAGAGGGCAAAGGATCTGGCAAGCAATTATTCATGATCTTCTTCCCAAAGGTCTGGGCAGTGCAGCAAAGGTAGTTAATCTATTCATTTCATGTTGCGTTCGGGAGCACCAATCGGTACTTTGGATTTGGAATTGGAAGAAATTTAGTTCAAAGTCTTGACTAAATTTTCTCCGATTCGAAATCCAAGCTGCCCATTTATTGTTGAGACAAAAGAAACACCATGGTTAGGTCTTCGGACTATCTCTAAATATTACTAGGGACCTAATTTTGATGTTTGAAGCTCAATTTCAAGATGTACCGGGAATAAAAGCTTACATGAAGTTTTAATTACGAAACTAAGAGATTCATAGAGACAACTATAGCTAATCGAAGATCGTTCTTTTCTTATGATGTGTATGTTTGCTTCAAATTAGTGCAGAGAATAACATGTGATTGATTTTTTTGTCTAGGCTTTGCTTTCGGGGTGCTCTGCTGGTGGATTGGCATCTTTCTTGCACTGTGACAACTTCACCAGCTATCTACCAAGCAATGCTAGTGTAAAATGTATGAGTGATGCTGGATTTTTCTTGAACATGTAAGTTCTAAATTCTTATCCATTCAATTGAAATTGTTAAGCTGTTTTTTTTTTTTTTTTTTTTTTTTTTTTTTTTTTTGTCATTATATATATATATATATATATATATATATATTTATGTCATTTAAATGTTAGATTTTGGCTTTTCTCTTGCAGAAAAGACATAAGTTTGAACGAAACCATAAAATCCATCTACAATGACGTCGTTTCTCTACAGGTGCGCCTTTCAGCATAAAGAAAAAATATTGAATTAATTTTGGTGTAGGGATGTATGTTTTATAGTTAAGGTCTTCCATTTTTCTTTCTTTTTCTTTGTTGTTCATTTCGAATTTATGCCCTTTTTTTCATTAAAACAAGCTGGGGAAGTTGCACCTTATGCGCCCTTAGAAGCTCTTGAACACCATAATAAACGACTGCTACATTAGATGTTGTATTAATGCACTAGCATATTTACATTACAGGGGGTACAACAGAATCTGAATGGAAATTGCACGAGTTCTCGTAGTGATCCAAAACAAGTACGAGTTCTAGGATTGCTAGTTTTCGTTGCTGGTTTAGTACTCTCGTATGGTATTGTTCTGAAAATTGAGTGTTTGTGCAGTGCTTCTTCCCACAGTATGCATTGCCTTACATTAAAACGCCTTTCTTCGTCTTAAACGCGGCATATGATGTGTGGCAAGTAAGTGTGTTCCTTCATTAAAGTAGTCCCATGACATAAACTTTGTTATGCCTGTGATATTATGCATCTGTAAGGTGACACAACTTTCTGTCTTAACAGTTTCATAATATATTGGTGCCCTCTTCTGCTGATCCGGGCCAAACCTGGAGCCACTGCAAGCAAAATCTGACAGCATGTAGTTCAGACCAAATAAATATTTTACAAGGTTGTTTCTGGACTCTTTCTTTCTTCAATCAAAATAAAACTTCTCGGTCAGTTACAATACTTCAGTAGTATTTTATACTCAAATTTACTTTTTTTATATTCTTTTGAAGAATAATTTGCTTGGAAAAAGTTACTTTGTTTCTCAAGCGGCATGATTGTCTCCAATTATGCATTTACAGGAATGGAGCAAATGTAGGGTCGGGACAGAGCCAATGTATATATATATGTTCGTTTTATGTACATGTATATGAGAAATTTTACATAATGTCACCTTTTGATTCCTTGGGAAAAAAAAAGAAAATGTTACCTATTCCTTCCTCGACCAGAATCTAATTTTTCTGCCTTCAAAGTTTTCTCAATTTTCGTTTCTTTTCTTCTTCTACGTGTGTATTTTACATTCAATGGAAATATTACCAATCAATATATTGGTTCTTGTATCTGTCAAGTATTTTTCTTTCTTATACCGCATATTATTTTGAAATGTGTGTTTTTTTTTTCTTTTTTTCTTCTTTGACTTTTGATTTAAACAATATATATTTGTCAAGTATTTACTATGCCCCCCTGAAATGAAATATTGGCTCCATCCCCGTGAATATGTAAGGAGAAGGAAATCATTAATTATGTTATTTTTTGCAGTTCACTATCATGAAATATATTGATTTGTTGACTTTGGATTTCTGTTAGGGCTCAGGAACGATATGCTTGGAGCTTTGAGTGTATTCTACAATTCGTCGAACAGCGGAGGAATGTATATAAATTCTTGTTTTGTACATTGCCAAAGTGAGCAACAGGACACTTGGTTCGCACCCGACTCACCAAGACTTAACAATAAGGTTTATAAACTAACTCTATCCCCAGTTCGACACATTAGTTTTAATGAATTGCAATAGTTTCCAAGTTCACTGCAGGAGTTGCATGAACAAGTGTGTTTCAATATGGGTTGAATTTTCAAAATGTTTTCGAGTTTTAAAATTTTATTGGATTGTTTCCATTGTGACCAACAACCGAACAATTTCTTCCAGATGATTGCAGAAGCAGTTGGTGATTGGTATTTCGGGAGGAGGGAGACGAAGGAGATCGACTGTGCATATCCTTGTGATAATACCTGCCACACCAAGATGAGCTGATGCCACAGGTTCAGTTACTGCCATCCTAGCATTGGAAATTCTTAAATTTTCAATAACGATATTGGAGCTCATTTTCAAATGTGAAATATTTATTGCCGGTCCAATTTGAAGGATTAAAGGTTACACGGAACATATGGGGTAGTTCTTCCATGGAGAATCTCTCATTTTCCAAGGAAGGAATCTGTTTGATACCTTTATTAAGATGGGAGGGATAGTTCTTCTAAAGATCTGTACATTTCATTGATTCTTATAATATCAAAAGGTTCATTGATTTTTTGTGGTGTGTGTGTTACATACTCTTGGAAATCACATGGTAGAATACATGATTTTGGATCTCTCATGTTCAACACCTTCGCGTTCTCTCTCTCTCGATCTCTTCTTTTGACTTTGGCAAATAGTCTCAATTCCCGGGCGATCACACCAAAAACTGAGTTCATTTTGGATTTCCTTCTTGATCAATGACAACTGCAGCATTGCCGCCATATTGTATTATCATACCGTTGTCACGTTTGGTACGTCACCAATATGAGCATATCCGTGATTACTACTTCCTACGATTTGAATACACATCAATTCTCGAGCCCCGCTGTTATCCGCTACATTCAAATGGGTCTGGGTTGAATCATATAATTTTTTATCTGTTCTTTCAATGCTAGGTCGAAGATAGAAAAAAAATATATAATAAATAAATATGGGTTGTTCAAAAAAACGAAACCTGTGGATTATTTTCGTCGCCAAGACCTATTTCTTCTGGTTCCGCATTCTTATCCTGAAATAATGAATTGAGTTCTTATAGACATTTTTGACACGGTGATTAAGGTAACTAGTGAATTAAACAAATTAGTGCGGGCGCGAGAGTCACGCATGGAGCGGGCGGATTTATTACATTTTTATCTAATAATTTTTTGCGATTAGAATCTGGTGCTGTTATGATGTAACACGGTCCTCTGGCTCTTATGGAACGACCTTTTTCATGCACAAGCCTACGTCATCCGATAAAGTTGAACTTTCTTGTATAATGGTATATCATGAGATTTACAAATCATCATGTTTAAAACGATTTCCATCCCAAGGTAAGGGTAGTTGAAAGTTCAATGCAGCCAAAGTCCACGTCAGAAAATGCGTCTGCAATGGAGTCAAGCCTTTCCTCAAACATTGATTCAGCCATTGAACCTTCTTTGAATTCAGCCATTGAACCTTCTTTGAAGGAAAACTGAACAGTTCAGTCTTCCGAATAATTTTCAGGAAATACTTGATTGACACCATCACCTCTCTGCAGGAAAAGTCCATTTCGGATGCTTCTTCAGCCACAATATCTAAAGAAGAGCTCTTTTAACAATTTTTTTTTTTTTTTTTTTGGCTAACCAGGGGAGGGGGAGACTCGAATATGGGCACACCTGCTCGAAGAGTTGGGCGCTCTACTAATTAGGTCACTGGATAATGCCGGAACTCATTAATATCAGATGCAGGAAACTTTGCTGCCAATTGTTTTTGAGGATACAGTGTCTGCATTGACAGCAAAGGCAATGAACTATTCCAGCATATTTTTTTTATTGTACTGTAACAATCTTTTAGTAAATTAACGCTATATGTTAGATCAATAGGTTCAGCTGTTTAAAATGAACTGCAACATTTTTTTTTTTTTTTTTTCTTCGATAATTAAGGATTTTCATAAAAAAGAAAATAAATACAGGGATAACGAGGGGTATGCCCCCCGGCCCAATGAGGATGGGCTAAAAGAAGAGAGAAGAGAAATCCACAAAGTGGCCCAACAGATATGAAAATAAATCCATACAAAACAAAGATTGAACCCTGCAGTAAATATATCCACTCAGGCACATACTAACCCAATCAAAGACATGGGCATGAAAGATCAACAACTTAGAAGCATCATAGCACGGGGTACTGTGGGGGCGGCTGCGCGGGTGGCTGCGAGGGTGGAGGGGGTGGTCCAGGGAGGTTGTGGTTGTTGTTTGGAAATGTAAAGAAGGGCAAAGAAAGATGATGGGAGGCTCCATTCGGTTGCAATTTCTTCAGCAAACGGGCACTCACACATTTTGACAGAGAACAACTTCATTCTAATTGCATTCACTACTACATTCAAAGTATGCAGAGGAGGTGAGGATTTGTCACTAAACATTCTGTTGTTCCTCTCTTTCCACACATGGTAAACATAGCTTGCTAAAGACAGCTTCCATATCATGACCCTACTTCTTTTCAATTTTTGCTTCCAGTTAGATGATGCCCAAATCTGAAACTCCTTACATGAATTAGGGTTGGTGTAGAAGCCACATTTATGTTGGAGGCCACTCCATATAATTTTGGAGTACTCACATTTGTGAAACAAGTGCTCATGGGTCTCTGAATCTTTAAAGTATAGTAAACAAACATTGGGTTGCATTTTATAGAGGAGAGCTGGCTTATCTTGGGTGAGCAATCCCTCTTGAACAGATAGCCAGAGGCAAAACGAGTGCTTTGGTATTGCATTTTTGAACCAGACTAGTTTATGCCAGTGAGTTGGTGGGATAGGTTGTGTGATGGCATTGAGAGTATGTTTCAGGGAGTAGGTTTTGGTGGGGGATGGTATCCAACGAATTGTATCATTTAAGCTTAGGTTGGGAAGGGGTAGGTTATTGATGTCACAGTGTAGGGCAACAAGGTTGGATAAGTATCTAGGCCAAGTCCAGTGGGTAGATGTGAGACGTGCTGAAAATTTGTTTATCATCCAGCCTTGCCTATTGGAAGAGTTAGAAAATACCTGGTATAAGGGACCACATGGTAACCAATTATCAAAAAATACCATAGTAGATGCGCCATTGTTGATGCTATGTTTGACAAGTGGTTGAGCCAAGTACCTATTCTGAAGAAGCTTTCTCCAAAACCAAGAACAGTTATTTGGGATTTTGATGTCCCACAAACTTTTCTGCTTGATCAAGTAATGTATAGTCCATTCCTTCCAAATTCCTGAAGATTCATTAGAACAAAGTGTCCAAATATGTCTTAAAATGGCAGCCTTGTTCCACTGTTGTAGATCAAAAATTCCTAGTCCACCTGCTTGTTTTGGCCTGCATATCTTCTCCCATTCCACCTTTGCTCTGTATCTACTCATTGCATTGCCAGTCCAAAGAAACCTTTGAAGAATTTGATTCATCTTCTCACACACCTTAGCTGGCAGGATGAGAAGATTAGTCCAGAAAATGTGTAAGCTGAAAAGGGTAGCTTGGATTAGTTGAAGTCTTCCTGCATATGATAATGATCTTGCTGTCCAAGTAGAAATTTTGGAAAGCATACTATCAATCAAAGATTGGCAATCACTGGCTGTGAGTCTAGAAGTAATCAATGGTAATCTAAGGTATTTAACTGGTAGAGTAGCACAAGGATAATGAAATATGTTGCATAAGTTCTCTCTGATCATTGGTGAGACTCCACTAAGAAACAGATTGCTTTTGTTTGGGTTTGGTGCGAGGCAAGAGAAACTGGAAAATAAATCAATGGAGTTTTTAAGGATTTCGGCAAAAGTGGTGTTTCCCTGACAGAACAAAAGGATGTCATCAGCAAATGCTAGGTGTGAAATTTGGGTAGCTTTACATCTCCAATGGTATGAAAAGGTGGGATTCTCAGAGGTAAGCTTATTTGTAATGTTGGATAATACATCCATGGCTAGAACAAAGAGATAGGGTGATAGAGGATCACCTTGTCTCAGCCCTTTAATGCTACCAAAAAAACCACAGAGCTCACCATTAATACAAACAGAGAAATTAGCAGTTGAGATACAAGACTTGATACATGAGATGAATACAGTTGGAAACTGCATAAGATGTAACACATCCAGGAGAAACTGCCAACAAAGGTTATCATATGCCTTGTTAAGGTCAACCTTAAGAGTACATCTTGGAGGGTGAAGCTCCCTATGATAACCTCTAAGTAGCTCTTGGGCAAGAATAATATTATCCCCAATTTGTCTCCCAGAAATGAATGCATTTTGAGCTTTATCCACAAGGGAAGGCATGATAGGCTTCAATTTATTAACAATGAGCTTGGAAATGCATTTGTACAAGACATTGCAACAAGCAATAGGCCTATACTCAGAGGGAAGAACAGGATTTGGAGTTTTAGGTATCAAAGTCAAGTAAGAGGCATTCACCTGTTTAAGAATCATTCCAGATTGGAAGAAATTCTTAATGGCAAGAGTTACCTTATTACCAACAATACCCCAAGCTCTCTTAAAGAAGAAAGAGTTGTATCCATCAGGTCCCGGGCATCTCTTAGATTTAATGGAGAACATACAATTTTTAATCTCAGTATCAGTTAGAATGGAGGTGAGACTATCAAAACAATCATCACTCACTATTTTGGAAATAAATGGGGAAAGGTTTGATATACCTGGGTAGCAATGAGGATTGCTACCAAAGAGGTCTTTGTAGTAGCTGGTGAATGACTACTTGATCACTTCTTCAACTTTAGACATAGTCCCATCCTGTAGCTTAACACCTGCAATCCTCTTTTTTGTTGTTCCTGTTTTGTACACACTTGTGAAAATAGTTAGTGTTCTGGTCACCCAAAGCCAACCATTTGACTCTAGATTTCTGTTGAAACAATTGTTCCTCAACTTTGCAAAGGCTAGAGTAAGAGATAAGCTTATTTTTCTCCTATTTTCTGAGCTCACTATTGCATG